CAAGCGAAGTATATTCCTACTCATCTCAGAATAGACCCTTTGGCTCTCATCACAACCCAGTCCCAGGATTCTCTTAATCCCATAATCACTTCTATGTTGATAGTAAAGAAATGATTTAATTAGATGATACCAGGACCTTGATTCTTGTCATTTTAACCATTGGTGCATCATTATCTTACTCTAGGCAAAGAGAATTTATTTGAAGCATTATCAAACACATTTGGGCAGAGTGGACAGAGTATGGATTTAGAAAGACCTGAGTTTGAATCCTGATTGAGTTAATTAGTAGCTGCATCACAAAGAGCAAGTCATTTAGCCTATTTCAGATCCAATTTCCTTGTCTCTGAAATGAGGCTATTAATGGCATCTCCTTCACTGAATGCTTGTAAATATTAAGTGAGAAAATAATCTCAATTACCTTGTAAAACTTAAAATGCTATGTTGTTGTTGTTTTATAATTTTATTTCCCAAAAAGAGATGCCTCATTAGCTAAATTTTCCATGGGGCTGAAATATTTCTCTCTTTGTTTTTATTCAAGGATATTTCCCATTCTTCCCTATCTGCCTTCCCAACTCTAATCTGCTGGTCTGTCTCAGATTCTTGTTGAGTTTTTACCCAGAATCTCCTTTTGAAGAAATCACTAGGCCAGCCACAGCTCCCTCTTCTCTGATCTAAGCTCCTAACTCTGGACTTTCCCACCTCTATTCCAGCTGTCTCTCCACCCTGAAGACGTTACCATCCCTTTGTCCACTCACTTCCTCCCACAACTTCCTCCTATAGGTGAGTTCCCGATCCCAACCTCTAGCTGAGAAAATGATGAGATCAGCCACAAGTCATTTCTCTCTCAGTTCCATTCTGAACTTCCTAGATTTTTCTACCTTTTCTCTATTGGTACCTCCCTTCCCCTTTCAGCTCTTCTTTGTGTTGTCCCCAGTTAGAATGTAAGCTATTTAAGAGTAGGAAATGATTTTCTTTTTTGCTTGTATTTGTGTTCCTACCACTTAACCCAGTGTTTGGCTCTCTTTTTTTTTCATAAGTTGGCATTTATTTAAGTTGAAGAACAGATTATGAAGGGGGGGGGCACATGGATAACAGAGTCAAAGGTGGAGCCCTAGGGGAGAGGGAAGAAGTGGGGAGACAGGGAGACGAGAGCCTCTCCTGTGTCTGCTCTAGACCGGGTTGATCTTGATTTCTGAGCCTTGGTCCAGGGCACACAATGAAGCACGCAATAAGATGAGGATCCAGGGGCTGCAGGTTTAGGAAACCCCAAGGGGTGGCCAAAGTTACACATCCAGCCAGAGGTGGGGGCTGGGATTCTCCTTGGATCAGCAACACCGTGTTCTTTTAGGAACTGAAGACTTGAGCAGGATATGCTGAACCTGGGTGATGCTTCCAGGCAAAGGATGTCCCAGAGCTGCCCCTTCCCCTCTTCCTTTTCCCCAGGTGGGGGAGGGAGAAATCAAAAGTGAGGGGTAAAGGGTGAAACTCTCTTCTCCTTCAAGTTTTGGTTGGAGAAGAACTTGGAGTTAGGCAGTTTTCCCATATGACCCACCAAAATGATGCGGTTTAGAGGTTCCGGGGTCCTGGGACCCCAATATCACAATACCCGAGTCCTATCCTAAAGAATTTGACCCAAGCCTTCTTTCAGCCAAAGACAAGGTTTATTAGAACATCCATCATATTGGGCAGACTCTTAAGGAATCTGAACATGAGTAAGCAGTGGCTGGATTATAAGAATCTGAGCCTTGGTGCTCTCTCTCTCTCTCTCTCTCTCTCTCTCTCCTCTCTCTCTCTCTCTCTTTCTCTTTTCTCTCTGTATGTCTCTGTCTCCCTCTGTCTTTGTCTCTCTGTCTCTCTGTGTGTGTCTCTGTCTCTGTGTGTATCTCTCTGTCTCTCTGTCTCTCTCTGTCTCTCTCTTTCTCTCTCTCTCTCTCTCTCTCTCTCTCACACACACACACACACACACACACACACACACACACACCTCGCTGAATGAGGGAGATTAATACAAGATTCTGCAATTATGTGGACTCTCTCAATTGATCAATTTCTTCAAACTCTACTGAAAGAGACAAGAACTTCAGTTTGAGTATCCCAAAGCACCTGTTTGTATCAGTATGTATGGAACTCTTGCATTTGGCTGAACCCTGTACTAGACATTAGGCTAGAGACAGGAAATGAAACATAAAAACAAACTGATAAAACATGAAGGCTATAACTTAGGAGGAGAGGATGAAGCAAGAAACCAAGAAACCCACACAGAAATAGCAAAAAACAATATATGTATGTATGTATGTATATATATATATATATATAATCACGCATTTTATGTTAAATGATTCAGTATTTTCCAAAGTTTAGAAAAGGATTCTGGAGTTGGAGTGAGAGGTTCTAGGTTCAAACCTTTGACTTAATTCATCAGAAGTACAAGGATCCCTTATGCTCAGAAAGGTTAAGTTACTAGACCACATCCACATGACTAGTAACTGAGGCAGAATTTGAACCGATTTTCCTTAATCCAAGTCTATCTAGAACTCTATCTACTATAAAACATTGACTTCCTAACTAGATTTCCTAAGTATAATTCCCTGTCTCCATTTTTCCTATGCTCTACCTTCATGAAATCACAAGATATTAGTGAATATTCCATTAAAAGAAATAGTTATTGCAAAGAAAACAAACCTTTAATTAAGAAAGAAAGGCTGGAACTTATAGCCAGAGATGAAAGTGACCTCAAATTGGTTTTAACCATGGTAGTTTCATTGAGATGAAACTCACATACATACCATCTCTTCACCTTATTCTCCTTCCAACTCTTTCTATCCCTTTTCTTCTCTCCTCTCTCTTCCTCTTTCTTTTATCTTTTCTCTTCTTTCTCTCTTTTTGCTTCTTTTCTCTTTCTCTTTCCCTCCTCATTTCCCTTGCTCCTTTTTTCTCCTCCTTTTCTCATCTTCTGTCTCCCTTTCTACCCCTAATCTTTTTCTCCATCTCTCCTTTCCCCTCTTTCCATCTTTTCTTTCATTCTCTTTACTTACCCCTCTAGTCTTTCTTCTCTTCCTCTCTCTCTTTCTTCCTTTCTTCCCTTCCCTTCCCCTGACTTCCCATCTCCCTCTTTCCTTCCCTTTCTCTCTACCCTTTGTTTTCTCTTCTCTCACTCCCAATTTAGTTCCCCTCCTCTATCTTTGCCTTCTCCCCACATTAAGCCATCTCTCCTCCTTCCTCTTCCCTCCTTCCTACTCTACTTGCCCCATCCTCTTCTCATTTTTCCCTTTACCCTCTCTCTCTTTTACCACACACACATATATACACATAATATATAGTCACTTTAGACAGATTTAGTCAGGATATCAGGAGAAAGGATTCTGTGGTGCCCAGAATCAGGTTTCTTTGGACTTTCTCCAATACCCAAAGTTCAGAAAAGTCTGGGCCCCATGTTTCTTTATCTGTTCTCATGGTTAGCAAAACTCATCATGTCTGATGAGCCTGAGAGTCATGTGAGTGATACAAGTGGAAAAGAAAACCTAAGGACAAAATAAGGGTGACCACACGCGCACACACACACACACACACACACACACACACACACACACACACACACACACATAATCTTCCCAAACCTGCAGTAACAGACACACTTAAGAGAAGAGACCTGGTTCCCCTACTGCACTCACGAAGACACCAGCAAAGAGAAGAGTGAATGTAATTGAACAATTAATGAGAGAATCCACAGAGTACTCTAGTACAGAGTACTAAAAAGCTTTTGGGAATTACAGGTGTTGTCACAGATCGGATGAGAGCACATCTTTCCTCCTCAGTAATTACCATATGCTCAGGCTGCCACAAAGGTCTCCCTTGCCTAGTCCAGAAGCAGTTAAATTCAGAGACCATTAAGTCCATTTGATTTATTGAAACTTCCTCCAAAGGAATAAAATCATTGGCATGTGAGAAAATCAGACCATTTTTAGGCCTACTTAGGTACCCATAATGGAAGTGATGGGGGAGAGGAAGTGGAGCAGGCTTGTCTTTGTGAGATGAAACACCACATCCCTATACCCAGAGTCCATCTAATGCCTCAGGGGAAAATAGAGTGCCCTATAAATATTTCAGTGAACAGTGAACAACCGAGTATCAAGACTCTGACCTCTACTGATAACTTCTAGATTCTGGCCAACCAGAGTCCTAAGAATGTTCAGTGTGGCCTCTCCTTTTCCTCAAATATCCTTCGATGAGAATGATCTCTGTGGCCTTCATTCCATATCTAATAAAAACAATATCATCCAATTTCAGTGGAATGAGCCTTGTTGAGGGTCCCTGTAACTAGCTTCCATTCCCATGCACTTCTTTCCATATAGGGTCTTTCCATTAGACTCACATACATGATGGCTGAAGAGATCCTCCTCTTCTGTATTTTTATTGTGACTCCATTGGTATAGGGAACTCCCAGCAAGGAAACTCTCTCTACCAATGCAGCTCAGCACCTTCTCTGAAACTTTTCTTCTTAGAAAATTACCTGAGACAATGAGAGTTCAAGTGACTTACCCAAAGTCCTACAGTTACCATGTGACAAAGGAGATATTAGAACTTGGATTCTTGATGTGGGAGGCCAGTTCTCTAGCACCTCAGTTCCTAAAAAGTCAAGGTAAGTGCTGTTGCTTCATGGCTTCATGGGCATCTGGGGCAGGACAATACTTCACGGTCCTAAAAGCACCTGATTCAATGGTTGGGGTAATTGTATCCCAGAAGTTAATGAGTCTCCAACAGAGACTACAGTTGTTTTTCATGCTGAAGAAGAGAGAACTGTGAGTGGGCTGTGGCAGTAGGGTGGAGTGAAGGGTCACTGATGGACAGATTTCTAACTAGTCTCAGTTACTGAGTATTTCTAAGAATGATAGTTGTCTGTAGATAATGATCAAAGTAAAATATCTTATAATCCCAGCCCATCTGAAGTTCAGTGAGAGAGGAAGCACACAGGGCCCCATCATATCTGTTTTTTCACACCCCAGAATAGCTCATTCTCTGGGAGAGACTGACTAGGAAGACCCGTGATCAAGAGACACATTCCCTAGATCACTTTCAAAAGACTCAGGTAGGTACAGATAATGTTGTATAAATCTTAGCCTTTTAGATGGTCACATAGAGGGTTGCTAGACTCTGGAACTACAGGGCCCTTGCCCTGAGGATAGACTGGTTTATGTATGAGTAGGAGGCTGAGTTATATCCTCACGTTTCTTTGTGGGAAGGAAAATTACTTCTTTCAGCCCTTGAAGGAAAAATGCAGGGGTGGAGCTGCTAACCCTGAGCTGACTCCAATGAATCATAAAATCTTATAAGGAGAAGGGACCTCAAAGGCCATCTATCTCACTCCATACCTCAATAATAATTCACTCTGTTACATCTCCAAGTAGTCATCACTCAACCTTCTTAAGAGGCTTAAAAGTGAGTAGTTCTCCCAAAGGTGAATTTCTCCTCTCAAAGATTCCATTTCCTCATCTGTATAAGTGAATGAATCAATCAACAAATAAAAAGGGTGCTTATTAAGCACTTACTATGTGCCAAGCTTCAAGGATACTAATAGAAAGTCAGGGCATTCCCTGCTCTCAAGGAACTCACATGATTGAGACAACATGTGTGGGAAGGTTCAACTACAGAGCAAATGGAACATCTCAGGGATCGTTTTGGTGCATAGGAATGGCTGGTAGTAATTCCTGGGGGGTCTAGAGGTTCTAGATAAGACCTAGTGGTCATTTATCTTATTGGAAGAATTATAGTTGATGATTGTCTGCTCATCTAGGCAGTGTGAACAGCCACATGAAGCCCCATGTTACAGGAGTTGTGATAGCCTGAGGGTATCCGCCTAACACTTTGGGGAAGAGGCAGTGAGCATGAGGGTAGAAGGAGAGACTCTGTGGTTCTTCCTTGTATAAGTATTCATGGCCTGTCAGTGTCTATTTAGGAAGGGGACTGAAGAAGGGGGCAATGGTAAGAGAGTTGAAGGTACAGTATGGCTCCCTACAGTAAAATGAAGTTAGATAGTTTTTAAGACTCTTTTATATCAAACAATCTAGAAATGCCACCACATTATAATGGGCAAATACTAGATTTGTATTCAGAGGTCAACAGGATTGGACTGGATGATTATTATGGTGCTTTCCACCTCTACATCTATGACCTCCAAGTATTGCATGTTAAAGAGACAAGCCAACAATTCTCTTTGCTTCTTTGTGGCATAATTGAAAAATCTCTGATCTTTGGATCCCTGCTCCACCATTTACTACCTATATGACTGTGGGGAGGTCACTTGTCTTACCCTTTGTCATCTCAACTACCAATTCCATTTTTCTCCATGCCCCCTGAGGAAGTCATATAACATCCATGTCAGCTGGATTCACAACAAGGTCAAATTATCTAAACTCACCAATGTTTCACTCTTTTATGGCAATTCTGTTTTTCTTCTCTGATTTCCTCTAGTGACCAGTCAAAATCCTCTTTTCTCCTTAACTCTTTATTCTGTCCTCTCACTTACATACCATCTCAATAGATAATAGATAAACTATTTCAACAGCCTTACTGAAATATTGAGTTTTCTGCTATCTGTACACCTCAAAATTTCTCTTGACCCAATTTCTCCTTTCCTCTGCTCCATGAGAAAAAGGTTGACTGTTTCACTGAAGCCAAGACTTCTATTTGTTCCCTTAATCCTACCTCCCTCTGGACTCATTCAGGAACTTGGAATATTGATCGCCTCACTGTCATGCCCTCCCATCTTCAATTTCTCCCTAACTACTAGCTCCTTCTCCATCTAATTTTTAAAAAAAAATATTAGTTTTACCATGTCCTTACAAATCCTTGACTGGTCCTAGTTATCTCATGCCTTTAATGACAAAACTAGTAGAAAAAAAAAAGTCCATGCTTTCTGATTTCACTTCCTCACTGCCCAGATACTTCTCCAACCATTCCAAAATAGTTTCTGATTACAACATTCTACTGAGTTTTCATTCTTCATTTGCCAATCATCTATTAATTATTACTAAATGCTTTTACTCTATCCTTGACAGTTGTGACCTTTGTACAATCTTTGAAGTTGGTTCTCTGCCTTTGGCTTCAGGACATTGCTTTGTCTCAGTTCTTTTATGTATCTGACTTCTGCTCTTCAGTCACACAGGTGGATCACCCTCACTCTTCTGTTCCTTTAGCATGAGTGTCTCCCAAGGCTCATCCCTAGGTTACTTTCTTTTCTACTAATCTTGGTGATCTTGTCAGTTCCCAGGTGTTCAAGGAGCATTTTCAATTAGACATTCAAATTATAGAATACCAAAAAAAGGACCTTGAAGGTTATCTAATCCAATCTTTCCTAGAAAGGTCTCCCTTCTAGAATGTCTTAGAAAAGTGGTCACTGAGGTTTTGTATGAAGAACCCCAGTAAGGGAGAATTTTCCACCTCCTGATACAGCTCAGTGCACTTTGGGAGAGCTCTGTGTTTAGAACAGTTTCCTTACTTCAAGTTTAAATACACCTCTCTTCAACTGCCACCCTACTTGAAGGGATACGTCATTAAGAGAGTACCACCATAAGGGAAGCTTTGTTTCTTTCCCTTTACATTTTCCAGCCCTAATTTCTCTTCTGAACTCCAGTCTCATATCATCAGCTGGCTGCTGCCCATTTCCTCCTGGACATCACCTAGGCATCTCAAAGTCACCTTATCCAAAACAGAACTAATCATCTTCCCTTCTTATTCTCACTATCTCTGTTGCTATCATCACTCAACCAAGTTTGCAACTTCAGTTACAAAGTCCATACAAGTCAAATTAAAGTTAAACTTCTTTGACTATTTCCTCTCCCTTATAGCCCAAATTTAATTACTTGTCAAATCTTATTGATTCTCTCTTCACAAAATTCCACAAGCGCACAGATTTAGATGTGGCAGGAATCTTTGGGACCATCTAGTCCAATCTTCATTTCACAGATGAGGATCTTACATCCATCTCTTTCTTTCTTTCTACCTACACACTCCCACTCTCATCACCTCTCACCTGGACTTTCTCATAGACTTTCTTCTTTCCAAGTTCACCCCTCTCCAATCCACCCACCACAGAGTTGCCAAAATAATCTTGCTAAGGCACAGGCATGATCTTGTCAATCTCTTCAAAAACTTCCCATGGCTCCAAAATACCTAGAGGATAAAATGCAAATCCCTCAGCCTAGCATATGAGGGCCCCCACTAGTTGTTTTCCATGTAGATTTCTCCCTTATTTCATATCACACCCTTTGACAGACTTGAAAGTATATGGGCTACTCACTGCTCTCTGAACTTTATGCTCCTTTGCTAGCTTCTGTACAGTTATTCTGGTCACTCCCACTTCCATCCCTGGAATGTACCCTACTGCCCATTCTTTATGCCCCTTTTTATTTCCCCTATTGCCTATCCTCATTCAAATGTACAGTCCTTGAGGATAACAACTGATTTACTTGTTTCTTATATCCCTAGAGCTTAGCACACCATGCAGCACACCATAAGCAACTTTTTTACGTTTAGTTTTTATTTTATTTTTTCTCAATTATACGTAAAAATATTTAACATCCTTTTTTTTAAAATTTTGAGTTCCAAATTTACTCCCTCCCTTCCTCTCTTCCTCTCTCCTTAAAAAGACAAGCAATTTTATATAGCTTATACATTTGCAGTTATGTGAAACATTTCCATATTAGTCACATTGCAAAAGAAAACACATACCAAAAATAAAAAAGAAAGTAAGTTTTTTTTAAAAAGTATGCTTGAAATTAAGTTCAGACTTCATTAGCTCTTTCTCTGGAGATGGACAGCATTTTTCATAAGTCCTTCATGATTATCTTGAATTTTTCTATTGCTGAGAATAGCTAAGTTATTCACAATTGATCATCATACAATATTGCTGTTTCTGTGTACAGTGTTCTCCTGGTTCTGCTTATTTCACTTTGCATCAGTTCATGTTAGTCTTCCCAGGTTTTTCTGAAATCATCCTATTTGTCATTTATTATAGTGCAAGAATATTACATCACAATTATATACCACAACTTGTTCAGCCATTCCTTAATTAATGGGCTTCCCCTCAATTTTTAATTCTTTGTCACCATAAAAAAAGCTGCTAAAAGAAAAAGCTGGGTGGGAAAATTCATAGCAAGTATCTCTGATAAAGGCCTCAGTTCCCAAATATATAGAGAATTGAGTCAAATCTGTAAGAATACAAGTCATTCCCCACCTGATACTTGCTCAGAGGATAGGAACAGGCAGTTTTCAGACAAAAAAAATCAAAGCTATCTACATGAATATATCTATGTATCTATACAAAAAAAAAAGTCCTATATCACTATTGATTAAAGAAATGAAAATTGAAACAACTCTGAGGCACCACTTCACATCTATCAGATTGGCTAATAGGACAAAAATGATAAATATTAAAGAAGACGTGGGAAAACTGGGACACTAAATGCACTGTTGGTGGAATTATGAATTGATTCAACCTTTCTGGAGAACAATGTGGAACGATTCTGAAAGGGCTATAAATCTTTGCATGCCCTTTGATCCTAAAACATCATCGCTAGGTCTGTATCCCAAGGAAATGTTTTAAATGGAAAAGAATGTATTTGTACAAAAATATAGCACCTTTTTTTGTGGTGGCAATGGATTGGAAATTGAGGGGATGCTCATCTGGGGAATGGCTGAACAAGTTGTAGTATATGATTGTAGTGGAATATTATTGTTCTATTAGAAATGACAAACAGGGTGATTTCAGGAAAACCTGAAAAGACATACATGAACTGCTAAAATTGAAATGAGCAGAACCAGGAAAACATTGTATATGGTAACAGCAATATTGTGTGATGAACTCTGAATATCTTAGCTGTTCTCAGCAATACAATGATCCAAGACAATCCCAAAGGACTCAGGATGAAAAATGCTATCCGCGTCCAGAGAAAGTCTGATGTCTGAACATAGACTAAAACATACCGTTTTTCTCTTTCTTTCCTCCTTTCTGTCTGTTATTCTTGTACAAAATGACTAATATGGAAATATTTCACATGATTGCACATGTATAACCTGTGTCAGATTGGTTACCATCTCAGAGAAGGGGAGGGGAGTAAGATAGGGACAGAATTTGGAATTCAAATAAAAATTGAATGTTAAAAAATATTACACATAATTGGGGAAAAAATAAAATGTTATTTTATAAGTGGTGCTATAAATATTTTTGTACATATAGAGCCTTTTCCTTCTTCTTTGATCTCTTTTGGGTACAGACCTAGTAGTGGTATTGCTGGGTCAAAAGGTATGAACAATTAAATGGCCCTTTGGGAATAGTTCCAAATAGCTTTCTAGAATGGTAGGATCAATTCACAACTCCACCAACAGTGCATTAGTGTCCCTATCTTTCCACATCCCCTCCAACAGTTGTTATTTTCCTTTTCTGTCATATTAGACAATCTGATAGGTGTGAGGTGGCATCTCAGAGTGGTTTTAATTTGCATTCCTCTAATACACTGTAAACTCTTGACAAATGTTTTCTCCATATGTCTTCTTAGCTTATTCTCTCAAGATTCAGATCCTTCCCAGATTCCCTTAGTTCTTAGTGCTCTTTCACTGCTCAAGTTGGCTTGTGCTTATTTCTCTGAATTTGGAATCCTTCAAGTAGAACTTAATTTCCTTGATGACTGGGACTATTTCATATTTGTCTTTGTATTTTCAAATATGGTTTGTATGTGTACAGTAGGCACTTGGGATCATTGATTTGTAGTTGAAGAGGACTTAAGTCATTCAATGCAATACTTTCATTATAATAATAAGGAAACTGAAGCTAATGTAGTTTAAATAAATTTTCCAAATCCACAAGTACCAACTGGCAAAACTAGGAGCCAAACCCAGGCCTTCTGATTAAAATTCTACTGAACCGCTGCTATGGGAAATTAATACAAGCACACATGTGTCTAGAGAAGTGGTATCAAACTCAAATGTAAATGGAGGCCACTAAATCATACATAAGGATCCATGTGGGCCATATGTTGACTTAGAAACCACATATCAACAATATCAGTTTATTACATTTGTGTTTGTTTTGCTAAATATGTTCCACTTTCATTTTAGCCTGGTTCAGTCAGAACATGTCTGATACCTCTGTGTTAGATGGAAGTTCCTTTAAGAAAGCATTCTCCCACCTTTTCATTGCTTGGAGGAGTATTGGGAATAAAGCAAAATCTATTTTAGCAATGACATTGTGGGTGGGTTAATCTGTACTTTGGCTTAGCCACACATTTTGTAATTATTGACCAGAAATAAAATCTACTGTTTTATTAGCCTAGAAGCAAGGACAGAAGCAGAGAAGACTTGGGGGAACTGAAAATGGAAAATAACATTACATACTTTAACTGGAATGGAGGCTAGTTTCTAAGATGAAGTAACACATCTCAAAAGATGGGTGACATAGAGACCTTTTCTTGCCTCTACGCCATGGATTCCATGTCATCGTTCAAATGATTGGACTTAATTGTATGTCTCCCCAGTGCACATATCCCTCTCTTCACTTGTGAAATCCTTCCCTCCCTTTGATGTCTGACTCAGCTGCTACCACTTCCACGAAGTCTTCTTGGAACTCCCCAGTTTTATGTAATCTTTCTCTTCACAAATCTCTCAAGCTGTCTTTTCTAGAGGACTCATAGACTTATGTAAATGATACATGGATGGATTATTGTGATGGGGGTATCATGAATACACTAAAAACATGGAATGCCCCGTGACAGTTTTGCATACTCAACAGGTGTCTTGTGCACACTTAATAAACATTTGTTGCATTGAATTACAGGAAAAGGTTGATTTGGGAAGAGATTATATACACAAAAATTGGAGACTGAGATCAGGTCCCTGTTGAGAAATAGTAGGATGTATAGAATTCAGTTAAAATTTTTGAGACATCAAATATATTTTCATTCATATGTCCCTGAGTCTTGGTGTATTTGATTGAGAAAGGCAAGACAAATTATACCAAATGATGAGCCCAGAAAATAGAAAGGCAATAAAAACCCTAATTTGTGACTCTACTGATTGTTTTTCCCTTCCATAAAAGTGATGAATTTTGTTCATTAACTATATCATGTGACAAATGGGTAATTCAACTCCAAACTTAGCATGGAAACTATTTGAGGCCACTATCATTTCCACAGCCAATGACAAATACAAAATCCTGCAGAGAATGCTGGGTAATAGTGAAATAAATTACTTTCTGTTACAGAATCGACTGCCTAATCATGAGCTCACCACCTATCCAGTCTGTAGAGGATCTCACTGAAGAAGATGTCCAGAAGGAGAAAGTAAAGCAACTTAAATCTACCTCCCCACCACGGAGCAAACTGGACGCATTCCTGAGGAAGGAACTGGAATTCCTGGGGGTAATCACTTCATGGAGATTCAATTAAATGAGATGGTGACAGTGTTCCTGGCAAGGTGCTGGGATTACCATATTGGAAAGAAAATTCTTCTAACTCAGGAGCTCATGCTGTGGAATTTCTGTTGGATTCCCCTAGAAGGCTCTGGTTTCGTTATCTGCCAACATCTGGAGAAGAAAATGAAAAAAATACTAGCGTGTGTTTATACTCTTAAAGGAAAATAATGATCTCTTTTTCCCACAGGGGGACCACTTCATCAAACATTCAATGGTTTAAACTGAAACAGGCCTTAAATCATAGAAGAGAGAATCTCAGAGCTGTAAAGCATCTTAGATCAGAAAATGTCACAGACCTGGAAGACAGCAAAAAAGACCATAAAGTTTCATAGACAAGAGGGGCTTTAGAACATAAAATAGTAGAGTTAGGAGGGTCTTAGAACAGAAAATGTCAGAGACAGGAGGAATCTCCTGATGCAGAATGTGAGATTTAGAAAGTATATGAGAATGTAAAGTGTTTGAGATTAGGGAGAAAAAAACTTTAGGATTATCTACTACAACTCCATCAAGGCATCACTAATCCCTATTCACTGACACCCTAGCAAAGAAGAATACATCTGTAGAACCTATCTTCCTCAGCCCTGTTCAGTGATTAGCCAGTATTCAGGATCTATGACTCAGGTCTCAACTAGTTGTGGTGAGGAAAAAGTACTCATCCCAGGAAATGTTTTCCGTTCTAAGTGTATTTCTCTCCTTGCAGGCAGCTCAGACCTTGATTGGCCTTATCTGCTGCTTCTTTGGAGTAACTCAGGAATTCATTCTGGATTTTCTGAAACCTAAAAAGGACCTTTTCTCAGCCTCTTACATGGGTTATCCAATATGGGGAGGATTACTGGTAAGTCTCTTCAAGTCAGTTGAATTCAAGTCAATCCCATGCACCCTTTCAAACATCTCATATGTCTAAGTCCCAGTATTACCTACTTATATATCCTCTATCTTCACCTTACCTTCCTATCAAAATCTTATGAATGAATATTTTCCATCATTTGAAGGATGGAAGATACTCAGGATGTCTTCTGGATTCTCCCATTGAAGCAAAAGGACAGTCAGTTCTTGCTTGGTCTTCTGAGATGCATGTTCTAAAAAAAATGTGGTATCAAAAATTGGCTTGATATTATTTGCTGGCTTCATGACTATTTGTACAATGAACCTACCATGCCACATGACAGCAGACTCCTCCTCCATTATAAATTCTGGATTTAGCATAGAAACATAAGTAGGAGAAATGAGGTAGCATGGCATAGTGAAAAGAAACTTGAATTAAGTCAAAAGACCCAAGATTTCCTCATGTCTCTGCTACTTATTACTTGCAACATATTGGGTAGGTCACTGAGACTCCAGTTCTCAGTTTTCTTGTGATTAAAATAAAAACTTTTGAACAAATAGCAAAAATTGAAACTAAGCCCCAAGCAATGCTAATGGCCAGCCTTATTCCAAAGAAGAGCAAAGAAAATATGTTATTTCCCTTCTCTACAGAAATCACAGAGAGAAAGAGACAGAGAGAGAGAGACAGAGAGAGAGAGAGAGACAGAGAGACAGAGAGAGAGAGAGAGAGACAGAGACAGAGAGACAGAGACAGAGAGAGAGAGAGAGAGAGAGAGAGAGAGAGAGAGAGGAATATTGCACATACTGTGAGATTAATTTGATGTGATGTCTGATTTTGATGAATCACCTCACCTCTCACCTCCCAGCCAATATACATACTTTTTAGTTTGGGGGGGGGGTTGGTTTTTTGTTATTGTTGTTTATTTGCTTTGTTTTGTTAAACAAAATGAGGGATAACTATATGCAGGAGAGAGACATTCTGGGAAATGAAAGTGATATAAAAAGCAAGAGATTAATAATAATGCAAACAAAATAAGAGTTTGGGACTAGGAAATTTTAAGGCCCCTTCTAACTCTAAATTCCCATCATTCCATAAACTGGCATTCAGCTCAATTCTCTGGGATGAACTAAAGACTTCCAACACCACCACTCACCCCCACCCTCAATCCTTATGGAGTTATATAGGCTCACTCCCTACCTGCAAGTTTCCAATCAGTTCATTGCCCCCCCCCCTTACATAGACTGTCTTCACTTTCAAGGCCACCAAGCTCTACACTTCCCCTACATGAACAAAATCATTACTGCCCCTCCCCTGAACACTGAAAGCTCCCTCCCCTAAATGTGTGTGCCAATCACAAGACTTTCTATCAGTGCAAAAGATAACCAAAGAAGCCTCTCCTTTCCACTGCTACTTCTCCATCCATTTTACCTTAGTATAGTTGGCAGGCCATCCTCTCAATCTCCAAATCAACCACCAGCAGATTCTAACTGGGTGCTGAGTTTATTAAGTAAGACTGTACAATCCACTTCTCACCAGATTCTCCTCTTTCATTCACAGCTGCATGCTATCTCCAGTTCCAGACACACTGTGTTCAACAGTATATATGTTTTTTCCTGAATATAACTGTACATGATTCACCAGTAAACAAAGGGGCCTCAACTTAGTCAAACAATTCTGTGCTCTCTGTGGCTTAGGCCCTCTGCCCTCTCTTGGAGAATCAGACAGAGGGATCTCTATGCATGGACAACCCTGCTCTCCACAGCAGCCAGTATTGAATGAGTATCTACTGGCTGTGCCATTCTAAATGATGTACCAATCAGGAGTACAGGGTATGGATGACCATAATCTCTAACCCCAAGAGGCTCATGATCTACAAAGAGAGGCTAGGAATCTCCAAGAAGAAAAGGAGTTTAGACTGAGAGTTTTCAGCCATTTTGATTAACAAATCCACCCAATAAATTGAGCCAAAATACAGACTGTTGATTGGCAGTATGGTGCAGTGGAAAAGGTATGGAACTTGAAGTCACAGAACCTGAGTTCACATACTGGCTTTGCTACTCATCCCTCTTTCACCTTTCATCAAGTCACTTATGCTCTCTGAGACTCAGTTTCTTAATCTGTGAAATTAAAGTCCCTCCTGTACCTTGGCTTATGCTCTTATAACAGCAAAAGATACCATATTATACCCAATAAGATTTAGCAAAATTTCTAAGTCTCAGAAGTGATCCAATATCCAGTTTTCTTGCATAGAGAACATAGCTAGAAAAGTATGAGGGAAGTGGAGCAAAAAGCATAGTACAGCAGCATGGCATGGTGCATATAGTGCTGGACTTAGAGCCAAGAAGACCTGGCTTCATATCCCTTCTCTGATCCTTAATGTGTGAGCCTGGTCAAGGTGCATCTGAATTAAATACAAAGCAGTGTGATAGGCTCAAAAAATCTGTTAAATGAAAATGTCTCTGCCTGCTCTCTACAATGCATAGGCCACCAGTGCTTTCCCCACTCTTTTGATTAAATGCCAACTTCTGGGTGTGTCTTTCAAGGCTTCTCTCAGCTTTGCCCACTTTCATTGCTATTATGTGCAGGACTCAATTCTGGAGGCTGAAGAAACAAAGACAAATACAATACAGTTTCTGTAATAGTGTAAGCCCCAATGACTTAAAGTCTAATAATGAAAATAGAGCTGAAATTAGGAATCACACCCTCAGGTAACCACTACAAACCAGACCTGGGTCGAGACAGAAAGTATAGCCTCATTTTCTGTGGGGGGGGGGCAGAGAGGGAAAGGTAAGAGAGTAGGGATAAGACGGAGATCTTTGGATACTACCTCCTGCTGGGCAGGGTTCAAGGACATAGGGGATAGCATAAGAGTGGGGGAGAGAAGGTCCTCGCTGTAGTGTAGGGCAGGTGTAGGATGTGTAGGAAGGCTTCACTTGAGCCTGCCAGCTGGTAGCTTCCCATTTTCAGTTTTCTTCCTCTGTTCTTCCTCTATGCTATTTCAGCATTGAAAGTGCTATAACTCCCCCCTCCTCTAAATTTCACCCCTTCTAAATTCATCATTCTGGGACTTTCAGCCAGATACCTCACTCTAAGCATAGCTGTAAGCTATGATGTGCCATATCTAACAAATTGAAAAAATAAGATATGGTCTAATAGTGGAGAACGAACAATATATAAAGTTAGTTCCCGAGGAAAACTTGAGAAGGATCAAATCTTTTTTTAACTGATAAGGAAAGGTAGAAACATGTTCAGAAAAATGACCAAGGGCTTGAAATTCAAGATTAGCAGATGAGATGTGATTGGCAGAATTAAAGTCCATGACAAAATGATCCTGTTGGTTCTCACCGTGAAACATATTGGGTACTGAAGTCATCAGCAGATGTCCTTCCGTCAACTTCAATTATCTTTTCTTTCATAATAATATTTACCTTCTCTGCATTCTCAGCATTTAGTTCTGGGATGCTATGGATCATCAGGTTAGGCTCTGAGGCCTTGAAAATGGAGTGACTGAGTTGTTAGGGCTTCATATTATGTGAAAGAAGTGAGGCAGGCAGTCAAGTTCCAGTGACAAGTTTCATTTTTTCCTGTCTTGGACAGTTCACCATTTCTGGATCTCTGTTGATTGCATCTGAAAGAAAAGGCGCCAAGTATCTGGTGAGTAAAGGCATTGTCCTTTTTTGTCACTGAGAATGTAGGAAGAAATCATGATTATTAGTAGAGAAGAAAGTCTTCAGGACAGTAAAGAGGTTTATTAGTATAGTACAGCACATTATAGCATTATATGTAAGAAGTGTATTAGTATAGTATAACATTTTATACCATTATACTATATAGTATAATGTAGTACAGCGATATTTGTGAAAAAGCATATCTGTGGAAAAAGTTCAAAGAATAGGAAAATACACCTGAGAATTTTGTTTTAAGAATGATCAATCCTCACTATTCCAGAGGACAATGTGCCCACACATACCCCTGTATGTCAATTCTCTCCAAAACATCATTTATTGGGTCCCTTCTACAAAACATAGGACCCAGTCCCAAATTCTGGACAGTTCTGTTAGGCTTACTGAATTTGATATGGCAGAAAGCTTAGATATCCAATCTAACCCTTCTCATTTTCCAGAAAATTAAAGTGATCCCTTCAAAATGGGAGTGACTTGACCAAGTACTCCTAAGGAGCAAGAAGCTTAACTGAGATTTGAATCCATGTCCCCTGACACCAAATACCGAACTCTTTCCACTACTTTGAAAACAGGTTGAATTAGGAAAATGGATATGCCCAAACCAGATGGTTCAATGACTGCTCTATTTGTCTCTCAGGTACAAAGCAGCCTGGTGATGGCCATTCTCAGTTCTGTGGTGGCAGGGATTGGGATAAGGATTATCTGGTCCAACCTGAAGCAAACATCTTCTATTTTTCATAAATGCCAGAATCAACAAATTGAAGAATTTTGCTTTGCAGTTACTTTTTTAACTGTAAGTGATTCTCATTGAAAAGCTAAGATGCTATTAACCTCCTTGGAATTAGAAACTTCATCCTTTTTTCTCCCTAGTCCATAGTCTGACTAGTCTTTAGGCCTTTAAGTCATGGAAGAGACTTGGAGTGGTGCTCTGTGGGTGTATACAGGCATGGTAGAAAGTAGCTACTGTGTCCACCACAAAGATCATGCTACGATGAAGTGGAGAAGCCCTGACTATGTTGTCATAACTTCTAGGTTGCATTAGGTATGTTCCTTTTGAGGTGGTGGTCCTGAAAGTGGGCCTGCCTTCAGAAGCTGTCAACAAGTAACCCTTTAAAATGTATTGTCCTGTGACTCTGTTTTCCACTGTTTGACAGGAGACTGCAGTCATGGTCTTATGCCTCACTGTCCTGGAGCTAGGCATTGGTATATTACTTTCTGTCAATGAAATAATTGGGAAAATAGTGGAAACATGGATTGCAAAGGTAAATTGGTGATAAATGGTGGAGGGTTTAGAAGGCAAAGCTAAAGGTCTGAAGTTCTTCAAAATCAAAAGGCTCCAGAGGTTCTTGAGCAAGGTAGAAGCATGACTAAAACAGTACCTTGGGAAGCAAAATGATGTCCATAAGAAATAAAGATAATATTTGTGGAGGAGAGGAAGAACTAGGGAACTTCATGGAAAGTCCATAACTCTCTCTCCCAATTCAGTGAACTTCTGAGGATATGCATCATAGCATCAATGCAATCTCCAGAAAAATAGTGGGAAATATGTATTGGCTCCTTTTCTCTTTCCACCCTTTCCAAGCCCTCATTGGTCATTATTCCCCTTCCCATACTCAGTAGTCCAGTTTCCAAGACTTCCCTCTGTTCCTCACTCATGGAACTCTACCTCCCATCTCTATGCCTTTGAATTTGCCAACCCATATGCCTGGAATGTGCTCCTTCCTTATCTCTTTTATTTGCATTTTTTAAAAATTTTACTCTCTCCTTGTCTCTATCTGAGAGAATCCCTCTTTTCCTTTAAGATGCTACTTAGATACCATCTTCTGTAAAGCCTGTTCTGATCCCCCAACTTCTAATTCTCTCTCTTACAAATGACTTTGTACTTAACTCCTGTGCATATATGACATATTAACTATATATATGATATATGATATATGACATATATAATATATCATATATGACATATATGATATATTGACTACTGTCTATATGACACAGAGAGGTATAAAATATTGATATAGAGAAGTATAAGATACAGATACCGAGAGGTATACAATCATTTGAGGATGAAGGAGTCACATATGAAGTCATTTAAAGTTATACAAAACAAAATACAATAAAACTGAATTCTGCAGCACACAACAAGAGTTAGTGAGAAGAATCTGAGATTCAGAGTTATTAGTATTTTTGGTAGGCAATCAGGGTTACATGATTTGCCCAGGGACACATGGCTAGTAATTTTGAGCTCAGGTCCCCCTGACCCAAAAGCTGACCCACTGCACTACTTAGCTGCCCCTCAGCTTCAGAGTTAGGAAAGTTTTGTTCGCGTTCTATTTTTGCTATATGCTTGTAGTATAGCCTCAAAGATCAAATGAGATAACGTATGTAAAATGATTTTCAAACCTTAAAGTGCCATTTAAATGCAAGTCATAGAGAAATGATATTTAATGTTATACGGTAATTAAAAGTTTGTAAGGCACTTTACTTGTGTTAGTCAGTTGATCTTCATATAATGGTGTGGAGTAGATGGTATTATCACTCCCATTTTACATATGAAGAAACTGAGGTTGGAAAAGGTTAAGCAACTTGGAATCAGAGATCCCTGAGGCCTCTTTCAGCTCTAAGATTATGTGCCTAGGATTTAACAAGATAAATCAATAAACTGATAATCAACAATAATCGCTAAGTACCAATACATAGCAGGAGTATTGTTTGGCACTGGAGACCCAAAGACAATACTGAAATAAGCCCTGCCCTTGAGGAGTTTATAATGTAGCCTGGGAAGACAACATATACATTTATAAGAATGTACAAATTAGGGGGCAGCCAGGTGGCACAGTGGATAGAGCACCGGCTCTGGGGTCAGGAGGACCTGAGTTCAAATTGGGCCTCAGACACATAAAAGTTCACTAGCTGTGTGACTCTGGGCAAGTCACTTAACCCCAATTGCCTCACTAAAATAAAAAAGTACTAAATTGATTAATAAAACTGGGGAAAGGGCTGGGGAAAGGGTACTAGAAGTTGGGAGACATCAGGAAAGATGTCTCCAGGAAAGGCTGAAGCCAGGAAAGGCTTCATTTAGAAGCTGAGCTTTAAAGATCTCTCTCTGTCTCTTTATCTCTTCTACCCTTATCTATCTATCTATCCATCTATCATCTATCATCTATCTATCTATCCATCTATCTACCTATCTATCTAATCTATCATCTACCTATCCCTCTGTACGTCATATGCAGACTTGTGCTATCATCCAGAAATATACAAATATACAAAAACCACTTTGCTACCTTCTTCCTTAATCTCATTACAGTGATCACTCCAACCTCTCTCTCAAGATAGTAATGCATATATAAGGCTGATATAAGGCTGGGAAGCAAATTAGAAGTTCTGGCCTAGAAATATTTCTAGTAAGTTGATAGGGGTGGGGATGCAGACCTTTATTCCCCATGACTGATCTGGTGGAATCTGCTCACATAGAACCTCTTAGTCTAGTCTGAAAACGTGGGAATGGTGGAATTATGGTGGAAGGAGATGATAAAGAGGGAAGACTGACAGCCTCAGAGGGACAAAAAGAGAGGGCTAAAGAATTCAACCCGAACTGGAGATTGAGGAACGTCTGACCATTTATAATTATGTGTGTGTTTTTCCTCAGCATCACACAGTTTACCAAGAAGCTGTTTATGAAGAATTAGGCATCTATGACCCAACTGCTGAAAACATAGAGTTACAGAAAGCCACAAGAACAGAGTCCAGGGAGTCACTTCAATCAAGAATATATCAATTACCAGAAGAGCTCCGGGAAACTTAATCCTAGAGACTGACAAATGTTTTAAGAGCATGGTACAGTGTAAAGGTTGATTGACTTGGACTCAGTACCTGGCTTTGACTTCTGCCTCTGTCATTTACTTTCTGAATGACTTTAGACAAGTGACAATTTCTCTGGTCCTCAATAGTTTCATTTGTGTATGACTCTTTGTGACTCCTTTTGGGATTTTCTTGGCATAGATACTGGAGTGGTTTGCCATTTCTTTCTCCAGCTCATTTTACAGATGAGGAAACTGAAACAAACAGGGTTAAGTGGCTTGCTCAGGGTCACATAGCTAGTAAGTGTCTGAGGCCAGATTTCAACTCAGGAATATGAGTCTTCCTGACTCCAGGCCCCCGGATATATCCAGTGCACTATCTATCTTCCCGTGACTTTGGTACAAACCTTGCCTCTAATTCTCGCTTCCTGTGTGAAGTCACTGACTACTTGTAGTGTTCAGCTTACTCTTCTTTAAAATGAAAGGGTTAGGATATATGGCCTCTGAGTTACCTTCCAGACCCAAATTTGTGATCCTAGGACATAGTTTCTGATTGTGTTTTGTGGAACTCTTAAGTCTTTCTCTTTCTTCCAATGAGCTTCCTAGTTCGTATCATCTCTCTCACAACTTATATTACTTTAACACATTAAGGCTTAAAAGGGCTTTCTTCATAAGAACTCAGTGTCATAAGGATTAAAAAGTTTGGTCTCTCCATCTTATAAATGAGAACACTGAGGTTTTATCCTAGGTCCTCCTATCCTATACTAGGTGTCAGAGATAGGATTTAAATCCATTTCTCTCGACTCCAAATAGATTACCCTTCCTGGTTGCCTTATACCAACATGTTCTGCATTCCTGAGAGCCCACATATTTGTATGTGAATGTGTTTATGTTGGTTTTCTTAAATTCAGCTTATCCAAATTTCCAGCACCTGATGCTTTGATTTTCAGTCTTTCAATATAAGAGTTACCATGTATATAGTACTTAAGAGCTTGTATATAGATTGTTTTCACAGATTTCATAAATTATGTTTTCAGCCTCACAATAACCATGTGAAGTAAATTCTGTAAGAATTATTATTAGTTTGACAGATGAGGAAAATGAGGTTCAGAGAGGTTAAATTCACTTTCCAAACTCTTCCAGATCCCAAATCCAAAAATTTACCCATGTGCTCTACCCCCATTTTTCTCATCAATTCAACATTGTTTTACTATTGCTGTTACTGCTCCTGCTGCTCTGCTGCTGCTACTACTACTATTACTATTGTTATTGAATATATATCTCATGCACCCAACATTAAACACTTTGGAGGATTACAAATATAGTGCAAGATAGGGTGGGTCTGAACAAGTGTTGAAAGATTGGTAATATTTAAATACAAAGGAAGGACTCAGAAGGACATTTTAGACTGAGAAGCTGCAGAGCTTGAGCAGATTTGGGAAGGGGAATGGAATAGGTGAAAACTGATCAGGAGACTGCACTGACTTTCCCGAGGATGCATGAGGGGAATTAAGATTGAACAAGTTTGAATGAATTAAGAGCCGCATGAATCATGTTCTGAAGGTTCTGTGGCTTAATCATTCTTGACTCTTCCCTCTGCTTCCAGTACCTTGAGACTTGATGAATTCTTGCCACTTCTTATGAATTTCACTTTCCAATTACTCACAAAAATTCTGTTTACTTTCACTGTTACCACTTCACTTTAGCCTGTACTTTGCCCTACTTCACTGCATTATTGGATTACTTTTGAAACAGCTTCTTAATTGCTCTATTTCCAACCTTGCCCTCTTTAGCTCATTGAAAACGAAGCTGTCAAAATATCCTTCCTTATATATTTTATCCTTTCATGTATCTTGTAAGCACATCGTTGTGCGCATGGCCCATTGACATATGAGCACCTTGAAAGTGAGGATGGTGTTTTAGCCCTTCACATGCCCAGCAGTAACTACAGTTTCTGGCACAAAATGGGTGGTTAATAAAGGCTTATTGACTGACTAAGTTATTTTTAAGGCACAAGTCTTATTATTTCATTCCTACAAACAACTACGTAATATATTATACATATGTGTGTATGTATGTGTGTGAGATAAATTGAAGGAAGGCTCTAGAATAAAGAGGAAGAAGGAAAGGGTAACTATAAAAGGTGAGATGTTTATTGAAAACTTGAAGGAAACCAGAGAAGTTATGAGGCAGAAATGAGAAGGGACAATATTCCAGGCAGGGGTATAGCCAGCACAAATGCCCAGAGTTGAGAGATAAACTATGTTGTTCAAAAAATGTAAAGATGTCAGAATCACTGGACCACAGAGAACATGTAGGGATATAAGGTATAAGAAGCCTAGAAAAATGGGAGGAGGCAGATTATGAAGACAATGAATGAAAACCAGATTTCACATTTGATCTTGGAGGTAGTAGGGAGAAATTGGAATTTGAGCAGGCGATGGTCAAATATAAGATTTAGAAAGATCACTTTGATAACTGAGTGAAAAACAGGCTAGAGTGGGAAGAAGCTTGTAGAAGGGAAATCAAATATCAGGTTATCGGAAAAGTCTAGGCTTGAAGTGAAAAGACCTCCAACAGACTGGTGGAAGTGTCAGAGAAGAGAAGGGACCTTATGTGAGAGATGCTATAAAAGTAATACTGACAGAACTTGGCAACCAATGTGATAAGGGGGTGGGGGGATGGGGATAATGAGGAGTCAAGAATGACACCTAGGTTTTGGGTGTGAATAACTGTGAGGATAGTGATATCCTCGATAGTAATAGGGAAGTTAAGGAGTGAATATCTGGGGAAATTTTGATGAGTTCAGTTTTGTTCTTGCTGGGGTTTAAAATGTCTATAGGGCATCCAGGTCAAGACATCCAATGAGCAGTTGGTTACATAAGACTGAAGGTTTCAAAAATAATAATTAATTAAGATGATTAAATCATTAATGCTTTGATCTGCGTTATTGGAAAAAATTACCCCAAGACGGGAGAAGAAGCTGCTCTTTTGGAAACCTACATGGCCTTCAAATCTAGTTCCACTCTCTAATGAGAGAAAAGGGCTGCTATGTCTCAGAGTAGGATGAAATTCCACTAGGATGATCTCAGCTGGATAGTGATGCTGTCCAAAGTACTGACCCTCAGTAGTTAGAGGTGAGTGCTGCTATGTTTGCAGATGCTTCCAAATGGAAAAGAGAACCATTTCTTTCAATGGGATTATTGTGGAGCATGGTACAATTGGTCTGGCATCTTATAATAGTCTAAGACCTCTCTATTGCTTTCTGGTTCCAGAAATGCACAGAAAGACCATCTGCTTTAGAGTGATAAGAGAACTACAAAAAGTCACTCTGGTTTTTAAGCAAGATGTATCTGTGACAGGACCTACCCCTCCTGGTAATGACAGATATAAATCAAGAGACAACAACTGGAGGACAGTGGGTACTCGACTAGAAGGGGATTTTCTTGGCATAGTTTCCAAAGAGTTTTTTTTTCTTTCTTGAAGAGATAAAGTCAATTCCAATTCATTAAAGGCATCTCCATGTGACACCAGCTATGAAGAGTGACAAATTATTCTTAGAAGATAGTATGCAAAATGATCTCAAGAGAGTTGATGGTGACAATCATGTGAGAAAGGAAGCTAGAGATTAAATCAAATTCCCCTCAATCTCAGATTCTGATGGATAATCATAGAAATTTTATGAAAATTGCTTTTTACAGGGGCAATTCTTACAGCAGCAGTGGTAGCAGCAACTTCAGGAGCTCTCAGCCCAGAGACAGTAAGAGCATCAGAGAACTCATTAGAGATTCCTTGCTAGCACTGGGTGAAGCTGGTGTTGATTGGCAACTCTATTGCCTATAAGCAGGTCTGAGTTGCAGTTCCAGGGCAGAATGCAGTGCTTCTGGTCACAAAGGAGCAGGATCCCTGGTTTCAATTCCAAGGCAGAAAGGAACACTGGTTCTTGTGGCTGCCAGGGAGCAAGCCCTTTCTGGGTAAAGACCAGAGCACAAAACAAGACAGAAGTGACCACACCTCTCCCCATGTCATACCACCTTGGAAGCACTGTAAACATACAAACCCCCAGAACTAGCTCTGAAAACAGAATCATGAGAAAGCCTGAACCTTAGAACAGTGCCTCCCCACCCCCAGGTGAGCACAGCCCAACTTTAATATAAGGTTCAAAGTCAAGAAATAAGTTAGAAAAATGAGCTAACAACAATAAAAGAACTTGACCATAAAAAGCTATGTCAGGGAAGACTGAGACACAAACAAAGAAGACAACAACAATGTGAAGACAGCCACAGGTCACACCTTGAAAAAAAGTACTAATTGGATTCAAGCCCAACAAGAATTACTAGAAAAGTTAAAGAAAGTGGTAAGAGTGTCAGAAAGGGAAATTGGAAAAAGAAATGAGAGTGATACAAGAAAATTATGAAAAGAAAAATAACAGCTTGTTAAGAGAGACACAAAAGAATACTGAAGAAAATATCACCTTAAAAAATTGAACTGTCCTAATGGTAAAAGAAACACACACAAAAAAATCACTAAAGAGCTCCTTTAAAAGTAGATTAGGTCAAATGGTAAAGAAGATACAAAAAATTCACTGAAGAAAAAACTCCTTAAAATGAAGAATTGGTGAGGCATCTAGGTGGAACAACAGATATAGCATCAGCCCCAGAGTCAGGAAGAGTTCAAATCTGGCCTCAGACACATAATACTCACTAGCTGTGTGACTCTGGGCAAGTCACTTAACCCCAGTTGCCTCACAAAAAAAGGCAGAATTGGCCAAGTGGAAAAAGAGGTACAAAAGTTCAGTGAAGAAAATAATTCTTTAAAAATTAGAACTGGGCAAATGGAAACTAATGACTCCATGAGACATCAAGAAACAAGGAAACAAAGTCAAAGGAATGAAGAAATAGAAGGAAATGTGAAATTCCTCATAGGAAAAACAACTGACCTAGGAAATAGATCAAGCAGAGATAAGTTAAGAATTACTGGACTCCTGAAAGCTATTGGACTCTGG